GTCACGCATTCATTGATTTATAAATAACACTTGCTCCAACAGTCTAGTTGTGCAGTTACAATGTTTTATCGAATCCCCGTCCCGCCAAACATCCTCACCCTTTCAGCCGAGGGGGCGTTATAATGTGACGGTCAATCTCATTATTCGTTGGTATAAGAGTAGCCCAAGAGTTGGCGGTGGGTGGTGATGATTACCTGCCTTCTCTCTAGTCTTTCACTGTTAAATTAGGGACGACTAACGCAGATAGCCCTCGTGTAGCTTTGCACGAAATTCAAAACAAACCAAACCATAAGGTTTTTAATATAAAATGAGGCTAAGCCAACCAGTATAACAATTTCGTATCGTATGCATAGTGGCGTATTTTTCTCCCCCTCATGTTACATAATCGTAAACCATAATATATATATATGGCATTTCAGTACCACGGTTTCTTTCTAGTGAACAAAGTTACTGCATCACGTACTTTATCTGCGAAACACAAAATTTGACGGCATTTTTCTCTTAGTCTTTATATCTAAATCAAAATTGCTGATCAAGAAACAATTAGTACCTTCCAATTAGAACTGTAAAATAAGCAGAAATAGTCTGTAACCCGTCTTTATAAATGCGCAGAAGTTCTGTATATAATCCAAGATGTCGTTGTGAAAAAAATCACTCCGCATAATGAATCAGTGCACGTGAAATTCCCTCAATTGATATTTAATACAAGGATTTATACTACCGCAATAAGTTGTCTTCCTTAATGTGAAACGTGAGCAACCTGCTGTTTCAACTATCACAATATTCAATAACATCACTTACAACCCTTATCTTCAGCTCTTCTGACCAATTAGATACCACCATTCGAATACTAAGGGATTTATTTCAAGCCCACACTTTCGATTAGACAGCAGTTCAATTAAATTTCTATTTACTTAGTTATCTCGCACAACGTAACAAGCTAGTGGTGGATTAGAAGGTCCTCGGTATAAATAAGCGTGCGCTACTTCCAATACCTGACCGAGAAGACCAAGAAATCTAGCACAGACCCATGACCGTCATGCTCGCCCGTATACTATGCCTCTCCTTATTTTGCTGTACCATGATTTCTTCTGCTCCTCGAACATTTCAACAAAGTTCAGGTATTTTTTCATAAAGTCACTTGTTCTCTTAATTCATCCACAAATCATTACAAAACTATTAAATTCAAGCTATTGGAAGTGATTTCGGTCATAAGTGTCTTCGAGCGATTGATTCCATATAACCCAGATATTTCAATGAATATTCATTACACCCTAGAGTCTTGTTTCTCAAGCAAAACGAAATTTAAGTTGTAAATGCAAATTACGTCTTAAAAGAGATTTGCTTTGATAATGTTTGTTTTGTTTTTTGAATTTCGCGCAGAGCTACACGAGGGCTATCTGCGCTAGCCGTCCCTAATTTAGCAGTGTAAGATTAAAGGGAAGGCAGCTAGTCATCACCACCCACCGCCAACTCTTGGGCTACTCTTTTACCAACGAATAATGGGATTGACCGTCACATTATAACGCCCCCGCGGCTGAAAGGGCGAGCATGTTTGGTGTGACGGGGATTCGAACCCGCGACCCGCAGACTGGGAGTCGAGCGCCCTAACCACCTGGCCATGCCGGGCAATGTTGCTTTGATAATATCCAAATGGCAATGATTTTAAACAGCAAAAAACAGAAATGCGCGTTTTCCTTATTTAATGAATTTAGCATTGTTTTTGAACATACGCAAAATCATTCTAAAATATACAAATGCTTATATATAGATAAATGCGGCTACAAGAACTAAAATATCTTTAACAAGGCTTTTATAGTATATTCCACTTATGGTTCAAATAAATGAGTTTTTATCCGAACAGCTTCAGAAAGGTAAGAAAGTCTGAACAGAAACGATCGCTGCCCCTCCTTCGGTGGTCTAGCGTTAAACTAGGAAGCTCGTAACGCTCAAATTCGAGGTTGGATCCCTGTAAGGACTACAGCATAGGTAGCTCATCGTGTATCTATGCGCTTAACAATACGGAAACAGAAATGATTGAATTATATGCAGATTAACGGACTACCCCTGGAGAAAAAAATGTAGTGTTCCGAACGTCTTACATTATATTTTATTGGTCTTGTAGAATTGGATTGGCTTGGATAAAATGTATAAAAACACCATGATTTGTTCACGCTGACATATATCATTGGGAATATCATTAATAACTCTGTAGCTTGTGAGATTTAGTGTAATATGTTGATATTTTCATAATTGTTTGTTTGTAGTTAAGCACAAAGCTACACAAAGGGTTATCTGTGTTCTGTCCACCACGGGTATCAAAAGCCTGATTCTAGCGTTGTAAGTCCACGGACATACCGCTGGGCCACTGGGGGGCATTTTCGTAATACATTGTTTAATCTATTGTTCTTTATTTTATCCAAATATTTGTTTGTTTGTCTCTGATTTTCCCAAAAACAACACCGGAGCTCTCTGTGCTAGTCGGCCCTAATTTTGAGCTGATAGACTAGAGGGAATTCAGCCAATAGCATCCACTGCTAAATCTTGAGCTACTACAATCAAATATAGCGGAAGTTGACATCACTCAAAGTGCAGAATGAGAATTTGCGACAAGGGGACATACGCCCATTAACCACAACGACAATCAAATATAGCGGAAGTGGACGTCACTCAAAGTGCAGAATGAGAACTTGCGACAAGGGGACATACGCCCATTAACCACAACGACAATCAAATATAGCGGAAGTGGACGTCACTCAAAGTGCAGAATGCAAACTTGCGACAAGGGGACATACGCCCATTAACCACAACGACAATCAAATATAGCGGAAGTGGACGTCACTCAAAGTGCAGAATGCGAACTTGCGACAAGGGAACATACGCCCATTAACCACAACGACAAACTCGGCCTGTTACGGAAAATAAAAATCATCTTATTAATTATTTTCAAACAGATAAGTTCTAGAAATATGAACGAAACACAGCTCTTGTGAACTTGCCAAGTTGTTGTGTAATTTGTTGTTGTTTTTCAAAGGAACAATTGACTTTTAAAAATAGATATTTTAATAGATTATCTAATATATATATTCCCAAATTCTAGACTACTGGATAACATACTCCCTAATTATAGTCTACTAAGTACCATACTATCAAATATCATACTTCCAAATACTATACTGTCAAATACCATGCTCTTAAATTCTAATCTGTCGATACGTTACTACCAGTTGTGTAATTTTCAGACTCCAAGTTAGTAAAACTTTACATTGCAGTAAAAGTCTTCCTGAAACATATTTCTAGTTTTAAAAGAATAAGTTGGTAAAACCTTAAATCACATACTGCGAACATTTTTATTCGTAACAACTTGTTTACGATTGTCTAAAGAATCTATTTTTTAAGTTTTGTCTGTTCGCGGTATTAAAAGTTAATGTATATTTATAAGTATCTTGAAAACAAAATAGCATATATGAAACGAATCTGTCACGATAGGCCCAACAGTTATAAATCTCGCACTCATTATGTTTCGAGTTGAAAAAAATAAATATGGTTTCAACTAACTATATGGCCCGGCATGGCCAGGTGCTCGACTCGCAATCTGTGGGTCACGGGTTCGAATCCCCATCCCACCAAACATACTCGCCCTTTCAGTCGTGGGGGCGTTATAATGTGACGGTAAATCACACTCTTCGTTGGTAAAAGAGTAGCCCAAGAGTTGGCGGTGGATGGTGATGACTAGCTGCCTTCCCTCTAGTCTTACACTGCTAAATTAGGGACGGCTAGCGCAGATAGCTTTCGTGTAGCTTTGCGCAAAATTCAAAAACAAAACTAACTATATAATTTAAACTTGAAGGGTTTGTTTGTTTGTAATTAAGCACAAAGCTACACAATGGGCTATCTGTGTTCTGCCCACCACGGGTATCGAAACCCGAATTCTAGCGGTGTAAGTCCGCAGACATACCGCTGTGCCACTGGGGGGCAAACTTGACGGGAACTACCAAGAACGATACTTAGACAAATGCAATATGAAATTGCATGTGTTGTTACGTGTCTGGTGTATCATGGTCTTACATTCAGCTGTGCCATATCTGATGATGATTATCGTGTTTAACTCATTTCCTTTATAAAGATGACGTATGAAACGATCGTCCTTATAGAAAAATAGAAGAAACTTAGAAGGTATATTTATCTGAAGTAAATAGAACATTTATTAGCAAACATCCACGCTAGACCTAACAAAAGGGCAACATTCGGAATAAACTGCGTAGAGAAGTCTGGAGAATTAGGAGTTATTACAGTGATCTTTCCTTATAAAACAAACGAATGTTTGCACTGTTCTTCCTTTATTAGGTCTACTGTTAAAAGATTAGAGCGATAATTGAGTATACAGAAATCAAGACTTACTGTTTCAAGACAGGAAGTCAATCCGATTTACGATGTTATTTCCTGTTGCTGTGCTGTAAGTGGGCTCCCTCGGGTGTCAACGGCTTACGAGATATGAAAACATAATTAATCATTTCTAATATGTTTAGGTCTTTGTAGTGAAATGCGCATTGCTTTCAAATTAGAAATTTTGGGAACATCTTATAATCTCTTACTGAAATGTACTGAATACTATAGTCATATAATTTTTGTCGCTAAATAACTGGTGTTATTATCCATAACTTTTATAGATGTTCTTTTAACACTACTGTCCGAAAATATACTATTATTTAATACTGTGGATGTTCCTATAAAGTTACAGCCAAATTGTATTTCAAAATATTATTTAAAATTTGATGATTATTTAACATTTCAAAACGGTCCCATAAACTGTTAAGAACTGAAACATCGTTTGTTTATATCGTTATATAATTACAAATGGAAAATTAACCTGAATTGTCACTGAGAGAAGAAAAGGCGCCAAACTATGTGTGCGTGACATCAGGTTCTACCATCAATAAAGCAGTGCAAAAAAAAAAAAAGATGTTTTAGATTTAAAGTAGTGGACTTATAAGAATAAAGGATGTCATTAAAAATTCGGTTTGAAATTAAAGTACTAAATTCATGAAGAATGTGTCAAAAATGTTCAACTCCCACTCAGTATAACACTCTTTAACGTTGCCTGTAAACTCTTTAAACTCTCACTAAACACTATACAACTCCTCTTATCCTCTGTTCTACACCCACTCAGTACAACACGTAACGCTACCTGTCTCTCTTTAAACTCTCCCTCAACACAACATAACCCTACTTACCCTGTGTTTAACTCCCAGTCAGTATAACACGTAACGCTGCCTGTCACTATTTAAACTCTCCCTCAACACAACATAACTCTACTTATCCCGTGTTCAACTCTCACTCAATATATAGCACATGATATTCCTGTCATTCTTTAAACTCTCCCTCAACACAACATAACTCTACTTATCCTTTTGTTCAACTTCCCACTCAGTATAACACGTAACACAACCTGTCACTCTTTAAACTCTCCCTCAATACAACATAACTCTATTTATCCTTCGTTCAACTCCCACTCAGTATAACACGTAACGCTACCTGTCACTCTTTAAACTCTCCCTGAACACAACAAAACTCTACTTATCCTTTTGTTCAACTTCCCACTCAGTATAACACGTAACACAACCTGTCACTCTTTAAACTCTCCCTCAACACAACATAACTCTACTTATCCCGTGTTCAACTCCCACTCAGTATAACACGTAACGCTATCTGTCACTCTTTAAACTCTCCCTCAACACAACAAAACTCTGCTTATCCTTTTGTTCAACTCCCACTCAGTATAACACGTAAAGTTACTTGTCACTCTTTAAACTCTCCCTCAACACAATACAACTCTGCTTATCCTCTGTTCTACACCCACTAAGTATAATACATAATCATCATTTCTTTAAATTCCCATTTCACAAAATATTAACCATGTATCATGAAAGCTTATCTAGGAGAGATGCAACAATTTTAGACTGGGATCTTAGGCCTGCCTGAGGCCCCCAGCAGTGTCCAGGGGGCGAAATCCCAAGAGGCTCGAGGATTTTTAACATTTAATAAAATAAAAAAAACTCCCCATTCCTTTCTTTTGTGTTAATTAAGATAGGAGAAGAAAATATGTGTTTGGTGGTGTGAT